TGTATTAACAAAGGCACCGGAAAGCGTTGATGTTGTAAACTGTCTACCCCCTCTCGGAAAAAGCGACCATGTAGTCCTACAGTGGGAGTATTCTCTCTTCTCTGTACCCGATCAAAGCATCGTGATTAGACGTAACATATGGCGTGGTGACTTCAACCAAATGCGTCTCGACATGCGTCGTAGAGACTGGAAAGCAGCATTTACGGGGTGTGTCCTCAAGGACTGGCTAGAACTTAAGGCCATACTGAATGAACTTATCAACAGATACTGCCCTATGTCGAAAAAGAAAATCACCAGCAGGCCCCGCTGGCTTAAGGGTTCACTAAAAGTTGAAGTTAACCGTAAGCAAAAGCTGTGGAAAGCATATCTTAGGGACAAGACAACTGAATCAAGAAATAGGTATAAGGCTCAGCGGAATAGGGTAAAGTGCCTTGTTTACAAAGCCCGCCAAGACTTCGAGGGTAACCTTTTAAATTGTGCAGGAGAAAACCCAAAGCTTTTCTTCAACTACATAAGACAAAGTACTCGCAACAGGGATCCCATCCCTATGCTAAAAACTGATGATGGCGTTGAACTTTACAAGGACGACGAAAAGGCTGAACATCTGTCCAGGTTCTTTCAGTCGGTCTTTACGAGAGAAGTCGCTGTACCCACTGATCACTGTAATGTGGACAATGTCCCGACAATTGACTCAGTGGTTCTCACAAAACCTATTGTTCAACAGGAATTACTGAAGCTAAAAGAAGGGACTTCGCCCGGTCCTGACGAAATACCGGCAAAGTTGTTGAAGGAATTAGCCACAGACTTGGCAGAACCTCTGAGCGTCCTCTTCCAAGCCTCTCTTGATGCAGGCAGACTGCCTCCTGAGTGGAAGACTGCGTGGATTTCACCGATTCATAAAAATGGCAGTCGCGCTTCCGCAAACAACTACCGACCAGTAAGCCTCACCTCCATATGCTGCAAAGTTATGGAGCGAATAATCAAACGCGAACTGATGCGGTTTTTAGAGCAAAATCATCTTCTGTGCGATGCACAGCACGGTTTCCGCAGAGGGAGGTCCTGCTTAACCAATCTACTCTACTGTCTTGAACAGTGGACCCGAGCGATTGATGAAGGAAACGTTGTGCATGTGGCCTACATAGACTTCAAGAAGGCATTTGACAGCGTGCCACACCAACGTCTCCTACACAAGCTCAGCCGCATAGGGGTAAGAGGCAAGCTTTTGAAGTGGATTGAAAACTTTTTGGTCGGTCGGTCCCAGACTGTTCGTCTTGGTGGCCAGCACTCGGCAGAGGTGACGGTTACGAGCGGAGTACCTCAGGGCTCCGTTCTTGGCCCTATCCTCTTCCTCATCTATATTGATGACTGTATCCATGGATTGGACTGCAAGATTGCCATGTTTGCTGACGATATAAAGCTTTGGACCGTCATCCGCAACGAGNGCTGTGCAGCTGCTGGGTGGGCTCGAGAGAGAGCCCTTAAGGCACAACGGAACGAGTGAGTTCCGTATGAACGATCGGTGAACGCCCCCTACCATCATCATAATACAAGTATTTTGTCCCTCAAAAGCCTTTTAGTCGAGCGCATTATCCAAACTTTGAATAGTTTCTCGACAGTATGAAGATAGAAGGGGATGAAATAAGCGGTCAGGATTGCTTCACTCCATCTTTACTAGTGACGGACGATGGGACAATTTCGTTGTCAGTAGCGCGGACCTGCATGGTGTCGCGAGGTTGTCTGATCAACAACGACTTACTCTCTGGACATTCGAATTTTCTCAATCCTTCAGAAGCTATTTCTGTTCGTTAAGAAGGATGGAGCACGAACCTACCCGAACTTATTGGAGTTTATTGAGCAGATCTCAAGCAGCAAGCATCAAGCCATTGATCCCATAGCGATTCCGATATCCATACTGCCTGGGGAGCAAGAGGACGTCAAAGACAAAATATGACGTTTCCGATGGAAGTCACGTTCCAAATGAAGCAAGTTGACGCAGCCGCCCACCCTGCAAGGATTGGACACGCTCTCCCGGGCAACGTGCTTTGTGACTACTCCTGCATTCTGGTCTTTGAGAATGAGCTCGTTCGCCTTCGACGCAGACATAAACTGCAAAGGTGACATTTAAGCCGCCAGGAATCGTCAGTATGGATGCGTAGACGCTGAGGATGCTGATAAATGTCTTCCTGTGGAAGGCTCGCGAAATGCGAGACAGTTGTGTACTTTATTAAGGAGGACGGATAGTTTTCTGAGGGCAAATATAAATGCCGTATAGTTCCCCGGTACACCGGCCGTTGCCATAGAAAATTTTTATCCTGTTACGATTTCCTTAATTTTCTCCTTCGAAGAACTCGGCCAGCGATCGTGGTTGTCGTTGCTAGTATATCCGCCACTGGCTGACATTCTAAAGACTCGAGTGAGATCATTCACGAGGGTACGATGCTGTGGGGGCTGTTCTTTGCTCACAGTTTCGATCGCGTTTATCATTTGTGTGGAAGTGAGAATGGTAAAGATTTATGGCCACTTTTTCAATCCCTGTACATTATGAGGGGGTAGACGGTGCTGCCACACCTAAAACGGGTTGTGATTGCTCAATAGCCGCATAATTCCCCAGAAGTGAGCCAATTCCGGTGTGGAGGCGACCCGAATTGACCGCAGGGGGGTGGGCTGTAGAGATGACCTATGTGTAATCTGCACTCCAGTGCGCAAGACTTGTGCGACGCGGGCGTCACTATTTATCCCCAAAACCATCGTAGTCAGATGACAGGGACAATGACGAGACACCTGGTAGTGAGACAGGATGCAGTGATCGGGCGGACTTGAAGTTCCCATCGGTCAGTTCGACTGTCGATGTTTGCCGTGCGTCCCAGGACGAGGTGGGTGCAGGAAGGTGACTTTGGTGCGAATTGGTTTACAGTGGCAGTAGACTTGCGCAGCATCTGATGCACTCCACTCCGTGGACACCGTGGCAACACGCAGTCAGGACGACCGGAGGCAGACTCGAGAACAGCGGCTGGCAAAGTTAAACAGCCGGTGCCCCCGTGTCTGTGCACAGTGAAGCATGCTTCCACACAAATACGGGAACGGTTCGGAACCCACCAAAGTGGAAGTGCGATAGCGGGGACGGTAAAAAGCGGTCATTGAGTCCGACTCTCGGTACTCGAGTCAGTCACTCCACGAGTATACACAGTACTTACCTCGAGGACTGAGGTACCCCGGCAGTTGGCAGCCTTCCATCTAAGCGCGTCGCGACACACCTGGTTCGTTTCTACTAAGCGAACCAGAGCACGCACACAATTTCACTAAGTGCGGATACGCGCCACTCGCCCCTATCTACTTTAGATCGCAGTAGACGCGATGCTCTTGAATCGAGCAGTCTTGCAGTCACACGGAGCCGAGCGCATGATTGACTCACTTTGGAATGACCATCTTCTAGGTGCACGGCGTTTGCCAAGACTGTCAAGCCATCCAAGTGAGCACCCCCCCCCCTTGACACACCCAAACACGCCTTTTACGGCGGAGCTGAATACGAGGGCGGCTAAAAATATCTGTTGGATAAAGTACGTGAGAGATGACGAAATCCATCATTGCTTCCGAAAAACTGCAGCGCACAATCTCCGAGTCAACGATTCGGGCCATATATTTTTTTTCCTAAACTAAACGCTTTAACGATTCTGTTGAGGACTCAGTACTTGCGACTTGGGTGCTAATATTACGAATGTGACGCCGTTAGTGATGTGCGCCAGCCTGACCGAGAACGGCGGAAAAGGCCAGTAATTACGCATAATCGATATTGGAAACCAACGACCTGATCGCCAAACGCACGTCAAAGGCGCGCGTCTGCTCACGGCGTCTTGTCGGGTGCGTTAAAACAACCAGCGCAGTTGAAGAAAGGCGAGCAGTGTTAGAGGGAGGTTAGTCTGGCACCTCAGCATAAGTCAAGACGGACTCCTACACAAGCTTACGGTCCCCACGACCCCGTGCATTGACTTCCTCCTCTTCAGCAGGATAACATCCATCCCATCTCTTTTCGTAAAACATGGTCCGGTAGAGAAGCTGCTGCAAGATCTGACGTAATCTGGCGCATTTTAGGTCTTCCTGATGGACAGACCATACTTCAACCCTCAGAAAAATCGTCTTGTGAATTGCTCCATTTGCTCAGTTAGAGCACGTCAACCAGGCACAAGGGTGACAGTAACTTATCAGCACTACTCCTCTGTATACCGTCGCTATGAAGTGACGCAGACGTTTAGGGCCCTAACAGATATCCAAAAACTTCTTACGGGCAAAAATTTTCGCCAGGCTTCCAGACATAACCATCTATTTCGCCTCGGTTCCTTAAATGTCAGGTTTGGTGGCCAGTCCCAATGGACAGAGTGTGAAGAATGTAGATAACGGTGAGTCACATGTGAGCAGTAAAGAGAAAAAAGGTCCACATTTCCGTCCCTTTAAAAGAAAACCGTGTACCAGATCTAAACACTGAAGATCTGGAAAAGGAATTTTCCACCATGCAGTCACTCTGCCTCTAGACAAAAGTTGATATTTATTTGTAGCCGACAGAAGGAGATCAAATCTGAGTTTAAAAATCTGTCTTTCTACTCTGGATCGGGCGTTGACAGACGTAGACGAGTGTGCATAGAGGTTACGTGAGTACATTCTCGTTGGGAACGCAGCAAAGGTCACCAAAAACTGCAGCATGCGTCTGCATTTGCGGCAACCCCAGCCTACGCAAAATGCATTCTATGTCAGTTCGTAAATAGACTTTGTTGGTACAACGGGGGGGGAATTAGAAAGATCGGTGGGGAGAGGCACATTATGCGAACCTGTACAATGACCGCCATGGCGGCTGCAAGACTCTAAAAGTCCAAAGATAATCAGCAACGCACGGCGGATTCCAAAATAGACATGGAAGTGTTTTAAGGGGGGGGGGGGGAGGGAGCAGTGCAAAGCCAGCAGGCACGAGACGCGGCCGTCAGCGGCGGCGGCGGCGGCAGCGTTAGCATCTACGCTAGGAGCGCCTCGGTGTCCTGTTCCTTTCGCCTTTTGCGCAGTCTAGAGACAAGCGGAGGAACGGAGAGTACCAGCACGGCCACAATGTGCGGCACAAAAAGGAACTGTATCCAGGCGAGCAGGCTGCTTTTTAGGCTGAGCAGGTGGAAGGGAGCCTGGGCGTAGTCCATGCTGACGTGGGTGAGGAGAATAGTGAAGCCGTGGTAGAGGAGGAAGAGGTAACGATTGGAGGGCAGTCGGCTGCGCACTTTGCGACGCCAGACCCGGGCGGCCAGAGTGAAGAGAGCAAATGTGAGGAACATGAGGTAGTAGCCGGGGTAGAGGCCGTGCCAGAAGGCGCTCACACAGAAGACAGCCACTGTGCGGATGGATTTGGGTGCACGGTAGTACACCACCTCTCTCAACCAACACGCAGTCTTTATATTCCAGGCATCTATTAGAAGCTTCAAATTCAGCGCAGCCTCTACTCCCACAAAGTCAAAGTTGTGCACATTCTTCCACAGGGTCTCCTTCGTGACGGGGTCTTCACCCGTGTAACCGTTGCCTGCACACATACCGAGCACCTCGGCCAGGGTCCAGGCAAAGTAGTATTTCAAACGAGCTATCAGGAATGTGAGGGCAATGTAGCCAGCGCGTACAAACAGGTTCATATGCTGCGTGAGAAAGGGAAAAAAATAGGCAGAATTAACCGAAGGTAAAGATGGATACTGCAAAGGCCCGCAAATGTCTCTTTGAATAAGAGACATTTGAATGACCAGCAGTGTCATTCTTGGAAATTTCAATCGCTATTGACGCAGAGAGCATTGTGTGACGAGTCTTGCAGAAGTGAAGTGTACAGGAATTGCAGGACAAAAGTGGGCATTTTCATCTCGTTCTGGGGTTGGAGGGTTGACCGTCAACGCGCGCGGGTTCAACACCAAGAGTGGGCTGAGAGATTACTGGCTGATGACAATGGGTAAGCCTTAAATGACGGTTCCAGTGTCCCAGTCGGCAAAACGTTTCGAGTCAGCAGTCAGCCTAGGAACCACTGCCAGCTGTTTCGGGGCTATTTGAGGCGTCCAGTACTTAAGAGTGTTTCAGGATGAAAAAATATTCCGAAACATTCTTTGGAAATACAGGCGAATTTTAAGTCCAAGTGCTCGTCTACTCAAATGGTAGACGGTGGGTAATCGTGATAGAGGAATGTGCCGACATACGGTATAAAGCTCAACATCCCGAGTTTCTTGTCTGAAACAGGTTTTTTGGGGTTAAAAGATGCCATACTAGCAGTAGGCCTCTAGAAATTCGCAACATGTCATTACGAAAAAACGACTAGTGTTTACTACAAATGTTCGTTCCAACGAAGAGTTGGTGAAACCGCGGCAGTAGACTGAGTGTTCAGTGACCTGGGAGGCGGGCATGGGAACATCCCGTAACAAAGCTAAGCAGTCCGTCTACGCGTGTCGCACACAAATCGAGCCTTAATTTGCGATCGTGTATTCCACCTCGGTGGAAACGCCATACAGGCCATATATAGGAGGCTTCGTAGCCTGATTTCCGAGCATGAGTTTAATCGACTTATTCTGTCAGTTCGTAACATTCCAAGCCACGACTATTAACGATCCCGATTTCTCCTCCCCACTGGTATTTCCCAATACCAGTTTTTCCTAACTATTAATGCCGATCAAGTTCTCATTGGCTTCTTATTGTATCCTACTTAAACGATTAAATTGGCCAGAGGGCATGCTCGAAAGGACTTTGCGGCTAACAAAATCGCGCTCAGGCCACATGAATCGAAAAACGGCAAGTTATTTTATCAACTTTAGAGGCGGTGTCTCTAGACGTCCATACCTGGCAAGTGCAGTCAACAAAAATGTTTACAGAATGAAAGAAAGCTGATGGGCTATCTGGTGTGTTAAATTTGCCAGCAAACGGTCATCAACATGCCCCTCGGAGCGAAAAAATCTCGCGGCAGACAAGTGCAAACCCAATAGAAAACTGCGAAGAAACTCACCCGAAAGTTAGCCTCCGCAATGTAGGTGACGGGAAATCGTTTGAAAAGAGCGACAAAACATCCGCCGTAGATGATCGCGCGGAGAAGAAGGATGAGTACACGGCGGCAACTGATCGGCGGTAGCTCTCCCGTCTCGTACCCTCCAAGGTACTTGCGGTAGTCACGGTAGAAAACCAAAGGCCCGATGCAGACTCCGTGAAAGTAGAAGGAATAGGCGGCATATTCCAGGGAACTAGGCATATCCTCTACAGCATAGCCCTGACTAGAAGGCATCATCTTTGGAAAGTCGGGAAGCGGGGAAGTCTCCTTGGTCTTCACGCCCTCCAGAGTAGAATCAGAAGGCCCCGTGACCACGTCACTATCTCCGGCGGCTGTCATGTCGAGAACGACCTGTGGCGAGGAGGCAGGCTTGCACTCTGTATCCTCGGCCGGCTTCGCAGCAGAGATCTTAGCATTGTGCTTCTTTATGCGCGCTCCGTCATAGAGGTTGAAGGCCAGACTGGAAAGGCGTTGAGTCTGCAGCATCAGTGGGCCCGAAATGTCCAACGTGTAACCCTCGTAGTCATAGTAGAGTCGACAGAGATGCACCAACATGAGGTAGAACATGGTCCACGCGGTGATTAACGTCGGCGTGCGTATTTGGTCAAGGCGACAGAAGCGCAGGAGCAGGTAAGTAACGAGAGATTGCAAAATAAGAATGCGGACTTGCTGGCCAAAGCAGAAAATGATCAGAAGGAGACCGAAAGAGACCTCAAGGGAGGCGCGTACGCGGTAGGAAAACCGCCTGGGTGAGATCAGATAACGCATAAGGAGGCCCAGAAGGCTCGCAATGAGGGCGGAGGCGAGGAAATTTGCCACGTCTATAGAGAGGCCGCACCAGTTGGACAGTGGCTGAAGAATACGACAGCCAGTGTAGAAGCGATCCCTCACGAAGACGCCGGTACCTTGGTCGATTTGTACACCCATCACCAGACCGACCAGGGTGCTAAGAAGGCCTAAACCGCCAGTGGTACTGGTGAGGTTTTTTAGGGGAACTTCCGTGGGGTCAAGTGTACTTGTCACGATTTCCGTCATGTGGATGGATAGGGTGTGGGGGGGGGGGCAGAGGAGAGACGATAAGCAGGTGAAAAAGATCGGTTTCGGTCGGTCGTATTGTGTGTGTGCGCGTACTGATTTGACAGAATTACCTACTTCCGATCCTGGTAGGAGGCACCTGAAGAGACAAACGGCAAATGAACCATAGGTAATGCAGACGGGTAGGAAAGGCTCGCAAAGCAAGCAGCCCATGCAGGAAGTTGGCAACTCTGATAAAAATACTGATAACGAAACTCGGAAAAGTAGATTGGAAATCCCTGTGCACAGCAAATTACCTTTGGGATCAAATGGCTTGGTAACCGGTCCCCGGCAGATCCGAGGATGAAGAAAAGTTTGGGGAAAAAAGTCTGACCACGAGGGTTCCATGAGTGAACTGTACAAGTAACCACAGTTCTGATCCCACACACCTTAACGTTGTCGGATGCGAATGAGACTAGTACGTAGAAGTTTATTTCGAAAAATCATCAAAAATTCGTCTGCGTTAATATACGCAGAAGTCGGCTCGCAGATCCTGTTTTTAAAGTAACAAAGTTTGAAGTCCAGCAGCAAGTTAAGAGCAACGCGAAAGGACAAACAGAAGGCGGGCCACGAACAGCAGAAGTGCCGATTTATAAAATGTTAACTGAAATTCTGAAGTACGTTTCGGACTCGAAAAGATTAACTAAGATACTCCAATTACTTCGGGATGCCGGCTTTTGAACAAACTTCTTTCCGACCGCCTGCAAAAATTACACTGTAAAAATGACAACGTGCGCAGTATTACTTTTTCTCGATGATTTTCAGTGCCTCTATAGATTTAAATATATTTCATAGAAAACATGCATAAAAAGTACTCATTCTTTTACTCATTTGGCAGAAAATTACGCCTTCTTTAAATTTTAAACACGAAGAAAGGGTGTAATTCGGTTTCAAAACGTTTCTAATTATGAGATCTTTAAGATGGTCAAACGCCTGTTCATAAAACATGGAGCCTCCGCACTAACTAACGTCGTTTGTAAAGTTTCCTATATGACCCAAACCCACTGCTAAAGTTTCTTAGCCATATATGATCGCCTCTTAATAGCGTATAGAAATGTATGATTTTCCGCACAAGGAAAATATACAGTTTGTAGTTTGGAAAACCTGAATGAAAGAAAATGTAACGGCAGGTCGATTTCAAAATTATTCGGTAATTGAGGAAGTTTTTAAAACCGAAGTACACCCCTTCTTCAAGTACAAGATTTAAAGAAGACGTGATTTTCTACCAAATGGGTAAAAGAATGAATACTTTCTACGCACTTTTTCAATAAAATATAGTTTAATTTATAAGAGCATCGAAAATCAATGAGAAAAACTCATGCTATTTAAGCAGTCATTTTTTACAGGCGGCCGGAAAGAAGTTCGCTTAAAAGCCGGCATCCCGAAGTAACTGAAATATTTTGGGGTTATGCTGCATGGCGATTAATATTGCAGTCCTAATTAAGTAATATTTTCGACTTGAAAATGTATTTTAGAATTTCGGCTAACATTTAAGGAGTTAGTACATCTACTGTACAGTAGGCGGCGGCAATATTGTAACGGGAAGGCCAAAATCAAAATGGTCCAGAGTAGTGCTTCGAAGGTTGCACAAAAAGCAAGCCCCTCACCCAGACATAACGTGTTTAAGACAAAATGGCTATTTAAAGTGTCAGGGTAGACCAGGTCTGCATACCTGTGCGCGTTCAACGTTAAACGGGATTTGCTGGTCTCGGTGAAAATCTGACGAGACGGTCTTCGTGTGCATGAAAATCGATTTTTCTGTCCGAGATACTCAAGTAAGGCACCGTTTCAACCAGCGCTTTTGCTTGAGTGAGTGGGAACGACATCGGTGACAAACATTCAGACTTGTGAATCGGTAAACCTTTGCACTGCAAAACGATAATGATGTTACCAATCGACCCATGCCAGCTTGAATATGGGGTAAACAACACGAAGACTTTTGTATGGTTAATTTCTTGACCTTATGTAACTAAGAAATAGAACGAATGGCGAGCGATTCATTTGAGAACTACTTCATTCTTCATGGTCGCAGTGTGATGCAAGTGATAATAGTAGTATAACAAGATCTGGAATCAAGTCAAGGTAGAGATGAACCTACAAAATGCAAGAGAGAATATGCATGTGAATAAAACTCTATATGCGATGGACAACACTTTTTAATGATTCGTCAGAGATCCGATAAATTCAAGGTACACACATAAAAAACAGTACAAATCCCAAAACGACAGTAGAAACTCTACGCTCGCTCTTTATCAAAATGCTCCCCCACTGAGCCGTTTCTTGCCACATACTGCATGTCGAAATGTTTAAAAGGCAGTTTAATGAGTTGCGTTAAATGGATGCAATTTTCGAATTTCAGCCTAGACGCTTTCTATTTTATAACTAGGTTGTTTACTTTTTGTCGTTGGTATTTGGACCACAGATAGGGAACGGTTTTTGAGCTTTTGGAGATTTCTCGTCAAGCCGTGGATGATTCACTGGTTTCAGTAAAAACTGCGAGTGAACTCAGTCTTACAAATCAAAGGAGACAGACGGGGCATAAAGTATCATAAGGAGCGTCTAGGATTATTTTACTTGACCGGTGGTGCTACAAGAAGAACTTGTCCAACCAACTTTTTTGTCGTTTTGCAAGCGCACTTACTTTTACCGCGACAGGAAGCTTTGGTACTACATGTAAAGGGGCAGCTAGCAACTCTCTAATATACATATTTAGTTCATGCCAGCAGCACCTTGCTCCAAGGTTCTTTATGAATCCACCGCACCAATCACTGTGGCAGATACCGCGCGGTGATGACTTGGGCGTATGCTTGTGGCATGCTTGCGATGCAGTTATTGTGCCCACCACACTATGATGGTAACGTAAAGCCAAAACGACCGGGGAGAGGGGTGGGCGCGGCAGCTAAACATCCCGCCTGCGTGTGCCACGCACGACTTGGGTTCTGACTTCACATGTATCGGGCTTAAGCGAAGAGTCTGCGATCTCCTATTAGCGAGGATGCCAATGCATGCCGCATTAAAGAGCCACTGGGGCCCAAGTCTCAGTTCCGAGTATGACAGAATTAGCCAGTCATTTGATAGCCTCCCCCCCCCCCCGAAGCAACGACTGTTGCTGCACCACGTGCTAGTTCCAAAACTCGTTGGGTGGTCCGTTGTGAGGACACAAGGGTGGGACCTGAAATGGATCTACAACACCCCCAATTTCCTCTCCCACGCGCATACACAGGACACAAGTGGCCTGTGAGATTCAAGTGCACCGGAGGTGGGATGGTGCGTAGTGCCTGACATGACGTGAAGCTACCACCTAGCGCGTGCCACGCGGAGACCGTTTTTGTCAGAGTCCGCCAACTTAAATAAATCGTCAGCAATGCACAACCGCGGTTCCGCTGTGAGGTGTGCCGGGAAGAACTTGTTGTAAACAGACTCCTCAAAATTATTCGATGCGGGCTTGCCAGTTGCCGGATTATATAACTCGAACTTGACAACGTTTAGGCTGATACTTTGCATGAGTTAGGTACTGCAAATGTGGGAGTCAAAAACCAAATAAGGAGTGGTCAGTGTACAAAACAAATAAACAGGTTTTCACCGATCGGTTCGTTTCCCATAGAAAATGACGATAAGAGCAGTGGCCGACTGAGCGGCCTTATCCGATCTACGCGACTGCTCTTCTCCTCTTCCCGAAACATGCTCCTCACCCTCGGGTTGACAAAAAGGACTGAATGCGCAGTGTACAGTCAGTGCCCGATCTCATGAAATGCTCACCGAAATTCTGAAATGCGCTTTCGATTAGGAAGGATCACTTAAGTGGGGCGTGCAAGGTTGATTATTTTGCTAAGTAATCCTGTAGTATTACGGACACAATGCCCTTCTTTTTGGCCACCTGCAAAAACCGCATTCGGTAAAAATGGCTATTTAGGAAGTATGAAATTTCTCTATCGAATTTCCATGTCCTTGTAAATCCAAATACAGTTTGTATAAAACCACCACAAAAATATTATTTATTGCACTACTTTGGTGGTAAGTCACTTCTTCAAACCTTATGCTCAAAGAAAGGGTATCTTTTGGTTTTAAAAAGTTTTTCAACTTCCAAATTATTTTGAATTCAATTTGTTATTGCATTTTCGTTCATGATTCACGTTCTTTAAGCTGCGTACTCTTTGTGTAAGGGAAAACGTACATTCCTTTATGCCATAAAATGTTACAACGGACGTGGCCGATATTGAATACTTAATGAGGAGCATTATAACACAGACATTGCACGGACTTGAAAGATTTCATGATTATATTTTTTTAATCGAAAGAAGACGAGACTTGTTACTAAATAAGTAATCCTTCCTAATCGGAAATTCATTTCTAAATTTCGGTCAACATCCCCTGAGATCGGCCACTGACTGCACTTAAAAATGGTAGCAAATGCAATGTAGCAGGTGTACTGTCCACGCCATGAAACTAAACGGATAAGCTTTGCAAAGTTGAAAATTAGGATAAACAGAGCTACTACTAGTGGACTAAGACTAAACAAACCTAATGTACAAAGGGGACGTTTCGCACTAGTACAATGCACGTACAAAGACTTTCATGGGATTGCGCAAACTGGGTGCTGATTTAAAAAATCAAGCTAAGCATACTAATTATTGTGTAGAAGAAAGTCCCCGTTTTGTATAACATTAAAGTGTGCTCTGCTAAACGGTCGTAAGATCAATTCTCCCAGGAGAATTCTAATTAATGACGGATGCCCAAATAAGTTCTTCCAGAAGTAGCGCCATCCCAGGGGAATTGAGAGCGACGCAGCTGGCAGCTGCGACGGGACCCATCAGCACTTGCCTTAAATGTGGTTGGGCAAAGAATACATAGCATTGCTCAGCGAGCATACATGCCGATAACCTTAAATTTGTAGGCTCAGCAGCTAGCTGAACTACATAGGTCAATAAAAATGGCTTCTTACAAAACACCAACGGTAAAAA